CCCGCCGATCCGCCTGCTGCTGGGGAAGGCCGAGAGTATAATAGCCTCACGCCAAGGTACTGTGCGTAGGGCCATGGCTGAGCTCTCAGGCTAGCCCCAAAGCTTTGTACTTTGTTAATCTGAGTTATTTTTCAGCATTTGGACAGCGGCTAGGAAAGTGAGCAGCGGGAGCCGAGAGCTTCCCAGGGAAGATCTGACCTGGGCCCAGGGAAATGGTCTTGTGTTGTCACAATGGAGTGGAACGAGTGGCAACATTCTGAACGGGGGAAATAACAAAACATTCTAAGTGGCTGGAAGGGGTAGGGGCCAAGCAGCGATCTGGGTGACTCGGGGAGGTGATGTTGCATTCGGGGTAGTTAGAATTGCTTGCTCCTAAACGCAGAGAGAGGATCATTGTTGTGTTGTCTCCATGCGTATGGCAGGGGTGTGAAGAAGGGAGGGAAGCGTAGGTCTTGCTATCTCTCCCATCACCCTCTCGGTATTTTCTGTGGCTGAGTCTGTAACTGACCATGCAGCGATGCACATGTACAATGGGATGTAAATAACCTCCGAGGGCGACAGAGATTGGGAGCCCCATAATATGACTAGGATTCAAATGGAGACTCAAATGCAAACGCTAGACAAACCCTCCCCCCACAGCTTGCTATTCGGAAGGACATTTGTGCCCTAAATCTGGCCCTGAGCTCTGCCGAAATGCAACTGGAACCCAAAGCCCCACTTAGCGCGGGGGGAAGAGGGTTGGGGCTGGCATGCACCCCCACCCCACGCCTGTCAGTTCCCCACCCCACGAAAATGAGAGCGCAGCATTTACCTTCGCAGAAATCAAACCTCTGCCTTTCATTTGAGCGGCTAAACAGGGAGGTTTGAGGGGCTCACTGAAGAGCTGGGTTTTTAAAAGGCTTCCCAAGCAGCCTATCAGATTAAGAGTGGCCAAGGGTTTAATTGGGACGCCTTCGGAGTCTTAATTAAAGGGTAAGATTGGGGGGCTGCGCTTCCCGTTTGGTGGAGACTCTTCGCAGAAATCAAACCTCTGCCTTTCATTTGAGCGGCTAAACAGGGAGGTTTGAGGGGCTCACTGAAGAGCTGGGTTTTTAAAAGGCTTCCCAAGCAGCCTATCAGATTAAGAGTGGCCAAGGGTTTAATTGGGACGCCTTCGGAGTCTTAATTAAAGGGTAAGATTGGGGGGCTGCGCTTCCCGTTTGGTGGAGACTGCGGGCGCCCTCCCCCACTCCGCCTGTCTCCTTCCCCCCC